CAGAATTTTGAGGTGACCTCAAACCATCCTGTTAAAGGTTTGCCTCATAGTGGGGAGATCCAGATGACTCCCATGTTCGGGTTTGGACCTGGGTGTGGATGGATGTCAAACCCCAGTGGCCAGAGGGACCAGAACCCTACTGTGCCAAGCTGAAGGTGACAGTCACAGGTAGACCACTAATTTAATCCCTGGGGGGTCTTGATGACCCCAGCAGAGTGTCAGCTGGGCCTAGTTTATCTCAGTCTGTCTGTGTATAGGTAGCCAGGCCCTGATACCCTTAGGCAGAGAGTGCCTGTCACAGAATGTTTATTTGGGTCTTGGTTTATGGTCAGTCTTTTATATGTGTGGCAACCCCTACTATGGCAGGCAAGGTGAACCCTCCTTTTGCTCTGGGCTGTTGACACCTGGTATCAGGCTCTAGAGCCTGGGAGGGAATAGTCAGCTCACAGCTCTTCATAACTCCAGTTACAGAGGCTCCAACAGACCTACATAATGTGCATGCATACAGGCTAACCATAGCTGGGTACTGGTGGTTCACCCCTTTAATCTCAATACTCGGGAGGCAGAGGCAGGCAGATCTCTGAATTCAAGACCAATGAGTTAGCTCCAGGACAGCCGGGCTACATAGAGAAACCCTGTCTCCAAACAAACAAAAAGCCATTTGTACACATAAAATAAAATTACCTTCCAAATGTATTTATCTTGACAGGTCTTCTGACAGGTAGACAGAAGAGGGCATCAGTCTGGAGCTGGAGTTGCAGGTGTTTGTGAGTCACTGGGGTGTGTGAGTGCTGGGAACAAATCCAGGTCCTCTAGAAGAACAGCCAGTGTTCTTAACCACTGAGCCATCACTTGAGTTGCAAGGGAGAGTCATCATTTCTGAGAGCTTCTAAACAGATAAGTCATCCCTTGATGTCTCCGCAGCAGAGCTGGCTCCCACCTAGGAAGACTGTTCCATTATAAGCAGAATTCCAAGTCCCTTCCCATCCTTGCTGTTTAGTCCTCCAGCTCAGGACACTTTACTCAAGGAACCCTCAGGTATGAGGCACTCTGAGACATCATAGACCTCTTCCAGGTAGCTGAGACCCTTGGGGGGGGGGGGCGGGTCACAGAGAGCAGTGTCTAGCCTGCCGTATCGCTGTTGGCAACTGTTGAGTTTGGGTGTTCCCTCATAATCCATCCTGTTGTGTTTGTGTGTTTAAGAGCCTAAGTGACAAGAGACCCTGGCACTAGATAGGCTGAGAACCTGGCTGGAATCAGGCCAGCCTCACTTCCTGACATTTGTTCCTTTTGTTGGCCTTTCCTGCCACTGTCCTTTGGAAGCATGCCTGGGCTGTGCCCTGAGGTATGGGTACTGTCTGCACAGCCGGGGACATACAAAGGGCCCCTGTGTGCTCTCATGGCTAATTGGTGGCCACTTAAAGATGGTTGGCATCTGGCATAGCAACAGAGCACTGTAAGAAGTTAAGTTGTGCCAGGCAGTGGTGGTGGCACACGCCTTTTAATCTCAGCGCTTAGGAGCAGAGGCAGGCAGATCTCTGTGAGTTCAAGACCACCTGTCTGCTCTACAAGAGTTTGTTCCAGGACAGGCTCCAAAGCCACACAGGGAAACCCTGTCTAGGTTTCAAAACAAAACAAAAGTTAGGCTGCTATGAATGACCCTTAGCTCACCTAGTGCCAGTATTTGGGTTTCTCATCCCAGACACCAAAAACAGGGGCCTGGATATGGCTGGAAGGATGGCTGGGCAGGCAGGCCTTGGGGACAGGTTCTGAGGCAGACTGTTTTGATTTTGAGATAACTGCTCTCTCTTATACAGCTCTGGCTGTCCAGGAACTTGCTATATAGATCAGGCTGGCCTTGTACTCCCAGACATTTGCCTGTCTCTGCCTTCCTAGTGCTGGGATTAAAGGTGTGTGGGTGCACCATCCCCCCTGGCTCTGAGGCCGACTCTGACAAATGAAGTGTCCTAAACATTTGGGTGGTCCTGGGATGAAGAATGTCGATGAGCTTGTTCTTTAAGGACTGGAGATGGGTAGGGACTGCCAGGATTCTGCAGCCTGTGAGTTAGCAGATGCTATGTAGGGGCTTCCTGGGCCCCTAGTGGGTCTCAGGTTCTGCTGTGGGTATTTAGTTACCATGATCTTAGCATAGTGTGTGCAGGCCTCTTTTAGAACCTGAAGCCCACACTCTCCACTGCCTCCAAAGCGCCAGCCAAGGGCCCTCTGCCTTTGGCAAGTCGCCATGCCGTGAGAGTTTCTCCAGCTACCTACTGTCTTTGTTTATTGGGCACAGGGATCCACAGGAAACACTGCCTTTCTGGTTTAGAGTCTCCAATCTGTGCTGTGTGGCTCCTGCTGGCCACAGATCCCCGAGGCTCTGCCTGGCTGTTCTCTGTACTGTCTGAGGCTAGAGGCAAGTGCAAGAGACAGCAGCCTCATTGGCCACAGTTCATCTCTTAAGTGCCAGGCTCTGTTGTATCCCATGGGCCCGTATTGCCCTGCTTGTTTCTGTCCTTGGTCAGCATGAGTGTGTCAAGTATTCCTTCCGAGGTAGAGGTAGATGTTTGGGATAGGGGTGAGGAATCCCTAAGTCCCCTATGGGTCAGAGTACACAGACCCTGCAGCATAGAATATGGTGGTGGTGGGGGCCGCATATGCAGCTGACTCTTCACTTGCTTTGGGATCTGTGGTATCCACAGCCCTGACTGGCCCTGCCCTTCCTGCACAGGTGCAGGCTTACACTTGGTGACACCTGTTCTCAGTGTATCTTTGCCCTTGGGATGTGGGGAAAAACAAACACCCACTGTCTGAAGCCCCAGAGAGGAAGTAGCCAGCCCTACCAGCTCCTCCCAGATACAGCCTGATAATGGTTCATGGTATTGGACTTTTGGGGGCAGGGCTGCCTCTTGTATTAGACCTGTTCAGGTCCTCCTTTAGCCTACCCCCTGGCTTGTAGGTATTGTTGACTGTTTTTGAGGCCCCAAGAAAGGTCAGAAACCAGAGGTAATTGACTGTTTCTAACTGGTCCTCCCGGAGGGGAAACACTGTGGTCTTGACGATTGGCTGACGACTTCTAGGACCCCTGGCATCTCTCCCAGGCCTGAAGCCTTTCCTCTGCAGCTTTGAAAAGTAGGACACGACTCAGGCGGCCCTTCTTCAGGGTCCTCTTGCTTAATAGATGCCCGCCAGCTTCACCCTCACTTTCGCAACTTGGTGTTAGCTTGGTATTTATTAAACGGGGAATTCCTGTCATCGTCTACTCTTAAGACTCCCTTGTTCTGTAAGAGATCTTGTTGCCTTTGGGCTCTTTTATGAAAATCTCAGAGTTGTTTCAGGTACCTGCAGACTCCTCCATTAGTGCCAGGGGCTTCCCCGGCTCATGTGTGAAGCAGCCGAGTTGCCTTAGGAGACTTTGACCCTAACACACTAGTCTAGCACCCCCTCCCCCCTGCCCTTCTGCACAGGAAGCAGCCTCACCCAGTGGTCCTAATTCTCCAGCCTTTTCTGCTGGGTCACAGTCTGGCTTAGGAGGCTGCCTGAGAGGTGTCTCATGCTCCCCGCCCCCAAGGTCTCTGGAGTTCTCAAGTCAGCACCAGACTAGACTTGTGGCTTTCTCTGTGAGAGAATAGAGCTCATTTTCTGCACCTGCTCCAGCCAGTGTCTGCTTAGACAGGAAGCCCCACCCTGGTGTGCAACGCCACCACCCCTACTGACTTCACTATGGGAGGGATCCTTGCAATTCCGGAAGGGGGTTTTCTGCCCCGGCCAGCATCCTGAGTCTCTCCTTGCAGAGGGCACATATGGCCCCCCCACTGGCAGGGCCTCTGTGGAATGACATGTTGGACCCCTTTGCTTCCGTGTTGGTTGTTTGTCTTTGAGGAACATGCGGCCCAGCTGAGCTTTTTGTCTCTGAAAGTGGCCCAGGAGAAGCACCAATAACCAATGCGGTTCCTCCAATGGTGCCCCTACCCCAGGCCCCTTAATAGATGTCCTTTCCCTTCGGAGCACTAGAGGTGGCCCCAAATACCTTCTTCCTATTCTTGGAAGACACCAGGCCTCCCAGGTACCTGGGATGGGGACCCAGCACGAGGGACAGAATTCTGCTCTTCTGTATACTTGAGGCCCCCAAGTTAATGCCTCACTAAGGAGGTGACTGCCTGGGACCTGGGTGTGAACCCTGGTCTGTCTGCTGGTTCTGCTGCCTTGGGGTCTCTGTCATCTGTCTATTTAGGCTGTAGCTTCCATAGGCTTGTCTGCTCTGAGAGAGGCCCATGCTGTGACTGTCTTACAGGTGGAATGTCCCTGGGGGTTGACACTTGTCCAGAGGATCTCAGGCGCTCAGGTGTGCGTCACTTAGTCCTGGATAGCGGAGTAGACCACAAGTGGTGCCTGAGATAGGCTAGAGCTCTGGGTAGCCTCTGCAAGCTTCTGACTGAAGAGGTAGTACGATGACACCTGGCAAAGCTATTTATTTTGTGTGGAGTATCATGGTCCTTCAAGACGAAGGTTTCTTTCGGGGTGGGGGTGGGGGGTGGAGGGTGTGTCTCTAGTGCTGCCTAATGAAGCAGAGACAAAGGCCACCCAGAGGCCAGCGGGACTGGTCCCTTCCAGCCTTTCCAGCAACATGCATCTGTGTTCTAAGGAAGTAGTGTGAACTGAAGGCAAAGAACCTAAGGGTCAGAGCACTGCAGAGGCCAGAGTGGCTCTTGGCAGTCCACGCAGAGCTTGCAGAGCCTGCTGCAGCTGTGTGTGAGGTCACCTCACAGCAGCCCACAGCAGCACAGTGTCCTCTCTATTCCCACGTGACGCCCTTGCCCCTCAGCAGAGGCAGCAGGCTTACCTTTCTGCACAGGGCCAAGGGCACGCTGTGTTCATGGCTCCTTCATAGCTCATAGGAGTTATGATGATCAAGTGGGGGACTTGCTACCATTGCGCTGGGAGGAAGACCAGATCCTGCCTGGGCCCAGGGATCCCAACAGGGCCTTTTGTGTTGGTCACAGGTCTCAGAACCCCCAGCTTCCATAAGACCCAAAGCAGACGACACCTCCTCACAGTCCCCTGCATCTTCTGAGAAGGACAAGCAGTCCACTTGGCTGCGGACCTTGGCTGGTTCCTCCAATAAGGTGCCATGTGGGAACCTGTCTGGGGTCATTGGGGAGGGTGCCAGGCCCTTCTTGGAGCCAACTCTGTGGCTCTACCTGGTCTCAGGGACACAAAATGGCCTGTTTTTCTGTAGTCACTTACATAGGTGACTCTCTTGACAGAGCCTTGGCTGCGCTCACCCTCGCCAGCGCCTTTCCGCTTTCCGGCCCTGGTCCCCTGCAGTGTCAGCAAGTGAGAAAGAGACCTCCTCACACCTCCCAGCCCTGATTCGAGACAGGTGAGTGAGGAGCGCACGGGAACCCAAACTCTGGTTTAGCAGGCTGCGATGGTGTTGGTGCCTTTAGTCTTAGGAGAAACTATCTAGAATTTTGAAGTTTTGGGTGAAGCTACTGAGTTCACAGACCTGTTCAACTATGCAGGGTATGGTGATCCATGCCTTTAATCCCAGCATTCAGGAGGCAGAGGCAAGTGTTTTCTGTGCATTTGAGGCCAACCTGGATTATATAGAAAGTCCTAAGCCAGCTAGGGTTGAATAGAGACCCTACCTCTAAATAAATGAATAAATAATAGCCTTCTGTGGACATGAAGATCCGGTTGGGAGCCATCCTAGCCCAGCCTATGGGGGAATTTGTGGTTCTTAATCATTAGAACCTTGACCTTGTGATTTAGAGTAGGGAGAGACACATTTCCCGTGTCCTGACTGAATGAGCAAGGCTCAGTCTATAGCTCATGTAGGGAAGGACTTGTGAGGCAGATGTGCCCTGGCTAAACATCTGTGCCTCTACAGCTTTTACTCCTACAAGAGCTTTGAGACAGCTGTGGCCCCCAATGTGGCCCTAGCACCACCAACCCAGCAGAAGGTTGTGAACGGTCCACCGTGCACCACCGTGGTCTCCCGGGCACCGGAGCCTCTTACCACTTGTATCCAGCCACGGAAGCGGAAGCTGACCATGGAAACACCAGGAGCCCCAGACATGCTGACATCTGTGGCTGCCCCTGAGGAAGACAAGGATTCCGAGGCCGAGGTGGAAGTTGAAAGCAGAGAGGAATGTAAGTATGGACTGGACTCCACTCCTTTGGGTATCGATAGAGGATGGGGTAAGGTGAAGCATATGGTGTGACCAGGCCAGTACACCTCAGAGTGCCTAATGCTTTGGTTTCTCTGTGTCCTCAGTCACCTCCTCCTTGTCCTCGCTGTCCTCTCCGTCCTTTACCTCGTCCAGCTCTGCCAAGGACCTAAGCTCCCCAGGCGTACACGCTCCACCTGTGATTGCCTCTGATGCTGCAGCCCATGCTGATGCCCCAAGTGGGCTGGAGGCAGAGTTGGAGCATCTGCGGCAAGCCCTGGAGGGTGGCCTGGATACCAAGGAAGCCAAAGAGAAGTTCCTACACGAGGTGGTCAAAATGCGTGTGAAGCAAGAGGAGAAGCTGACGGCAGCCCTGCAGGCTAAGCGCAGCCTGCACCAGGTATGGCGCGCAGCACGTGGCGGGCAGGACTGCGAGATATAGGAAACAGCCTCCCTCTTGGGCTGCCCAAGCCCTGTTCCCAGTCCTCTGGAGGACCAGGCCTTGTGAGGCACTTTGATGGCCAGAGTCCTCTCTGTGCTTCCAGGAAGGTCTCATGGTGGTCTCAGCTGCAGTCTCCCTGAGTGGGGCCTCTCTGAAAGAACTGGCCTGCTTTCTTGGCCATGGTAAAGGCCAGTGTTAATGGTGAGTGAGGAGTGGCTGTACTGGTTGTCACGCCTCTCGCTCTGTGCCCGGGGTTGGTTTATTCTCCACTAGCAGGAGTTGTGCTCTACATGTAGAAGCTGTGTCTCCAAAGGGACTTAGCAGCGGGCCTCTGGGAATGCATGCTTAGGAGGCGTGCTTGTACTTACACACTGCTTCCTGGCTGGCTGTCTGGGCCTCACCTCACTGTTTCTTAGGCTGTTTTGTTTTTCTGACATGCGTAAGGGAGGCCTGGTTCTCAGGCAGCCTGGGAAGAGTGAGGAGCTCAGCTGTGTTGGTCTTCACCAGGGCTCAGCATTAAGCCTTTGCTGCAGGCTCAACCTCTGCTAGATTCACACCTCAGCCTGAGTCTGGCAGCTCTGGGGGCAGCCTCACATGTGTGGGCTTTAGCACAACACAACCTTGTCAATCCTCGGGGCTGTAGGATTTCAGATGTTCTCTGAGTGAGTCTTAGTCATTCCCTCATCCTTTCTTGCCCCCATTCTGGGTGGAGGTGTGATTTCCCACATGACTATTCATGGGGGACGGGTGTCATACTGCATTCTAACAAGTGGGGGAAGAGTAAAGGAAGTACGGAAGGTAGATGGCTCCATCTCTGCTGGGGGTCAACTCCGGGCCTCAGGTGCATAGTGTCTGAGACTGTCTACCTGGTGGTCTCCTCCCCTCCCATGAGACATGACCACGTGTGTTTGGGAGGTGGAGGAGGTGTGAGAAGGTTTCTGCTGCAACCTTGATATAAGCAACCAGCAAGTGGTAATAAGCTCTCTACCCTGTAGGGAAGGCAGCTAGCCGTCAGGTCAGTAGACTGTGGGGTCCAGGGTGGGCACAAAGCTGCTGGGCTGGCAATACCTTGAACCTGCCTGCTACATGTCCTCCCAGGAACTAGAATTCTTGCGTGTGGCCAAGAAGGAGAAGCTACGGGAAGCCACAGAGGCCAAACGCAGTTTGAGGAAAGAGATTGAACGGCTCCGAGCTGAAAATGAGAAGAAGATGAAAGAGGCCAATGAGTCTCGGGTGCGCCTGAAGCGAGAGCTGGAGCAGGCACGGCAGGTCCGGGTGTGTGACAAGGGCTGCGAGGCCGGCCGTCTTCGTGCCAAGTACTCAGCCCAGGTACTAGGGTGGGTTGGCCAGCAGGCTGACACGCACAGCGAGTAGCTGCTGTCAGGCCCAAGGTCCTCGGTGCAACCATTTCAGGCTGGGTCTGTGAGGTGATCATGTGCCTGGACGTGGGTCTGGGTGCTAGGGACTGTTCTCTCCACCAGCACCATTGTGGCCCCAGAACATAGACTTCCCTTCCCGGCGCTGGCCTGGGAAGCAAGCTCTAAGTTAGGGTCAGGAGACGGACCTTGGTAACTGCAGAGTGGCAGCTTCCAAAGGTTAGGACTCGCACCCAGAGAGAGGGAAGGTTTTCTACATCTGTAGTGCTGTTCGGTTCCCTCTTAGGTACTTCACAAATGAGGCTCGTCCAAGCCTGGGCCTTTCCCTGTGAGCCTTCGGGTAGAATAGGGCAGACATGGCACCAAGGGTTCAGTAGGAACTCGAGGGAGGGTTAGGCACTACTGACCACTCAGCATCCCTTTCAGATTGAGGATCTGCAAGCCAAACTGCAGCATGCAGAGGCCGACCGAGAGCAGCTTCGAGCTGACCTGCTGAGGGAACGTGAGGCCCGTGAGCACCTGGAGAAGGTAGTGAAGGAGCTTCAGGAGCAGCTGTGGCCCCGGCCACGGGCTGAGAATGTGGGTGGCGAGGGCAATGCTGAGCTGGATCCCTAGCCTGGGCAGTGCCTGCCACCGCCACATGGACCTCCATGCGTGCACAGAGGGCGACGGGTACGCGGCTCTGCGGGCCCAGCCCATGCCTCTGCAGCCACACAGCACAATGTCTCTACTGTGCCTATTACCAAGCGAGTGTTTGTAACCACATACTTTTGGAATCCACTGCAAAATTTTCTACTGGCCAAGTTCAAGTGAGCAAGCCATGTCCCCCAGCTGCACCCAGAGTTGAGGCTGGCTCTGTGGCTTGTAGCTGGTCCTCTGCTTGCTAGAACATTCTAACATTTACACTTTTGTTATAAGCTATTTAAAACCAGTACGGAGACTTGATATTCAGAAAATCAACATGTTTTTTAATGACTAACTGTAAAAGGCCCCTACACGTGACGCCATCTGGACACCCACTCTGGTGGGGGTGGCACCCACCCACCGCCGTCCTGGGAAGCCATCACCGCTCATCTGTGCCCGCGGCTGCAAGAGGACAGCAAGGGTTTTCTTCAGAGTCTATTTTTTCAGCAACAAGGACCCCAGGCTTCCTGCCGCTGACAGGAAGAGCAGGGAGAGCGCCGCGTGCGAGATGAGCCCCAACACTGCCCGCCTTACCGCCGCTGCCCCGCCCGCCAACATCACCACTAACCCTGCCCTGCAGGCACCGAGGGGGCCTGAGCCACACAGTCTGTTCAGGCCCCTGGATGCCCGTGCCCACCTACACCTGGGGCTGACTGTGCTAGGCAGTGGCCATGGCCCAGTGTCATGTTGTGTTACTCCCCACACGCCCACACGCTGCTTGACCACAGCAACCCCTTTCCAGTGCAGCAGGCACCACTCCTCATCCTGGGACTGAGGCTGCAGCATTGGAACAGACACAGCATTATGTCACTTTTCCTTTCTCCTCCCCCCCCCCCCTTTTTTTTTTTTTTTTTTTTTTTTTTTTTTGTGTGTTGTTGTTGTTCATTTAAACATGTATTTAGAACTGCACTTTGTCAGAGCCCTCCCTTCTCTTTTTACTCCCCGGTTAACTGAGGTTTTTACCGATTTCTAGAGCAGTTCAAACCCTAAGTGCTCGAGTGCTTAGAAATCCCCTCTGGTGCTTGGTTGAACAAGGGAATCACAAGAAAATGAAAATGCAGAGACTGAACTTGGGGGTCGTTCTGTGCCTTCCAGCATCTTGTACAGCAAACCCTGACTTGTCTTTTTACCCCCAAAATATCGTCTTCAGTAGCGATTGAATCTGCCACTGTCAAAATACGTTACTTGCATTTATTCCAAATAATCTCGTTTACTCTTAACTGTTTATGCAAATTGTATAAGGTTTCTTATGCCCAAGCTTGAAAAATGATTTCCCAGTAGACAAGAGGCCACCGCCCATCCTCCAATTGTGTTTATTTACATGAGAAGATCACACACAGAAGCCCTCCGCTCCAGTCCTAACCGGGCAGCCGTGAGCTGAGGGGAGGTGGAGATGGCTTGTGCAGGTACAAATGACCTCAAGGACTGCTGCCTGCAATTGGAGACTGCTAAGCCCTGACATTTTGGTGCCGAGGTCGTCTGCAGGGTCTTGCCCTTGGTTTACTGAGGGGGCTGGGCTGCTGCCGGGCCCCCCTTCTGAAGTGCAATGCAAAAGGGACATCATGTATACACAGCGTTTATTCGGAGTTTTTTCTTTGGCTTTTTTTTTTTTTTTTTTTTTTTTTTTCCTCTCAGTTATGAAACTTGTATGCATGGATTTCCCATCTCCATAGCTAGACCTACCCATGGGCATTATGACCGTGTCTCCTAAAGGGTCAGTTTTGTTACACAACACAAAGAATGCTGTTCTCAGCCCTGATTTTCTAGAGTTGTGTTTTTCAGTCATTTCTTCAAGGAAAACTAAATGATTTAGTTGGAGCAAAGCTTTAAGTGTGTTGGTGTGCTTCTGTGTGGCTGTCCCTGCTACCGAGTAGGAGATCATAGTGGTTTGGGCTCCTTTGAGCCATTGGGCCCAGGGGCACACGCTTTTCTCAGCAGAGCCTCTCTTTGCCACAGCCCCGGTCACCATCGATTTCCTGGCCTCCTTGGGTCTACCACTGGCCCCATTATGGGAAGGAAGTGTGCTGTCTGCAACAGAGACTCTCTTCACGTGTCAGAATGACGTGGGTCTGGGAAGGGCTTGTCATCTCGTGAGTTATTCCTCCTGGGTCCCTCCTCCCTCTGCTTCCTGTGAGCCCCTTGAAGGCAGGGGGCCAGAGCACAGGCTGCCGTCTACCAGAGGCTTGTGATCTAGGCCGCCCTGCTGCGTCTGCCTCCTGTGTGAGGCTAGCAAAGCTGGGTAGGCAGGACCTGCCGTGGACTGAGGGCAAGCAGGCACCGCATGCCCGGCTCCCCATTAGGAAGGCTGCAGATTTCTTCTCAGAGAAAGAGAGGACAGGGTTCCATCATGCTGGCTGTTGACTCTCCCTGTATGTTAAACCGTTTATCAGTTTACTCATTATTTCTATCCTGAAAGATTTCTAACGAAGGGAAAAACCAACAGCAATAACATTCATTGGTGAGCAGCTAACTCTACACATTGACACCCTGCTTTTCATACAGAACTAGCCAATGTAAAAACAACTCACATGTAAATACTTTTTTCCATTTCACACCGTTGTATTATACGTGTATATGGTGATTCCTTTTCCAGAAAATTTTTCTTACCTGTTGGTTGTCTTGTTTTCTGGGTTGTTTTTAACTGAGGAAAAATTGCTCATCTGCCAGAGGGGACAGAAGAGTCATGTGGCATTTCCCATGTGGTGTCCTCCATGGCCACCCATTGACCCTAATTCCTACTCGGAGTATCCTCCATGGACCCTCCCCACATGCCCACCCTAGGGCTGGGAGGCGGGGGTGGAGGGGACTCTTTTGTTAAGTCAAGATTTTCAAATGGCATTTTCATCAATTAAAAATAAACCCACCTCAACCTTCATAACTGCCCAAGCCCCTGCACCCTCCAGTCCTACGCTGCTGCTAATGATAATACGATGGCTTACTCTGCTACTCGACAACTATTTTTATGTAATTAATGTATGCTTTCTTGTTTATAAATGCCTGATTTTAAAAAGGAAAAAAAAAGAAAAAGAAAAAGCTTGGCATATTTATCTATTTCTCTGTGTACCTGTTAATCCTTTTGCCCCCCCCTCCCCAAACAGATGACATTGTACAATAAAGGACTTTGAGAGTACCGTGGGCGCTGGCAGCCCCCATACATACGGTCAAGTCCTCAGGTAAAGGGGGGGAAGGCTTTTCTACATGTTAGATCTGGGGCTGTGGTCATTTGTCTGTTGCCAGGAACCCTGGACTGAGAACCTTGACCAGGTTTGAAGAGGACTCACAGTGGACAGTGCTGGACAGATGGACCAGACGTGGCCCTTCCTGGGGGCTTTCACAAAGGTCTGCTGCACCAGAACTCCCTGAGGCCAAACAAGAGTGTATCTCCCCAGGGGCATTACGGTAGCAGCGCGCATGCGTGCACACAAACACACTGTTGTATATTATAGAGAACAGAGTCACAAAACTGGACCCAGCATTTAGCCTTCCCTGCCTCTTGTTAACCTTCCCAGAGCCCAGAATCTTGTCTCAGGGTCTGCAGCCTTCACCACGGAGCCTGTGAGTGGGGGGCATCAGCTTCCATGCCAGAAAACCAGTACCCCAGTTCTGCCTGTCCCTGTGCATCCTGGGGTGGGGGGAGATCCCTCCATCTGACTTGGCTTTCCCCTGCCCTGCTTCAGGGGACCCAGAAGGGTTCTAGGAGCTATAGAAAGAGGAGCAGGCTTACCCTGGAGAAGTCCATCGTCCTATGGGCCCCCATCCACCAGACCCAGGGGTTCAGAAGAAAAACATTGGTGTTGGTCGGGTCACGTCTATTTCTAGCACTAAAGAGGCACAGTTGAATCACCACAGGTTCAAGGCTGGACAGGTCTGTATCGTTCCAGAACAGCGTAGGCTGTCCTTTGAACCTTGATGGGGGCTTGGGGGGGGGGGGACTCTATCAGTGAGTCCCTGCCTAGCATCCTGGTCGTGAACGGGAGTGGGGGGTAGTGCTGTTGTAGCACTGGGTGATAAAGGGCCCATTCGGGCTGGGGTGTGGACATGTGTTCTTTCCAATGGCTACAAATGTTTGTTATGAGCCATCTCTATAACTGGGGATGGATGCATGAAAGATGAATATAGCCAGAGGAAGGCCTGGTTGTGGACAACCTTGGCATCAAGTAGAGCAGGAGGCAGGTTAAAGGCATGTATGTGGCTGGCCCTGGGGCTCTCAACTCCACAACAGCAGCTTTCGCCAAGGATCCAGACCAGCCTCCTGTCCCCAGGGTTGCCAGAGGCTTCATCTCTGGGTATGAACTTAGGAGGATTATAGCTACCCCTGGCCCAGAATACATTCAAAGGGAACCAGGATCCCTGGAAGGGTTAGGAGAGGGGAGGCCTGCTGGGTAAGCCCCCATCCCAGGGCTGGCTGAGGTCTCCTACATCGGCCAGGGCCTCTGTGGATGTGGACGTGGACATGGCTGGACCTCTGGACTTTTGAAACCCCTTCTTGACTGGTACTTGTTTCCAAATTTCTGGGAGACCCCTGAGTCGAGCCAGCAACGCCCAGGTAGTCCTAGTTCCTATTTGTGTTATATGACATTGCCCCCATTTCTGTTTCTACTCAGTCGCAAATAGTCACACACTACCTTGCCCACCCCCATTCCAGTTGTGCCTGTTTTCCGGCCCCGACTTACCACCCTAGAGTCTAGGGGCCTGGCCCCAAGCCAAGCAATTAAAGCTGCTGTCTGGAAGGACAGATCCCAGCTTCTTCCAATGGAAAGCCTAAGCCAATGTCCTGTAATATGAAAGCCAGTCTGGTCAGCCCTTCACCCTCCTCCTCTTCATGCCTGCACTCCTCCAGAAGCTTATCTCCTCCCTCAGGCCATCCAGCTCAGACCCCGGCCTAGGCCCATCACCCCTATCTACACCTGCCCGGCACCTGCTTGGAAGTCCCTACGGTTGCCTGCCCTGGGGTCATAGACTTCTTCCTGGCCAGGATGAGGTAGAACTGGGCCCTGCCATGCAGGCCTGAGAGGAGGACTCTGCCTGCTCTGCAAGAATTGTGGTCCTGTTTTTGGTGGCCTGGATATAGGAATGAATCCCTGGAGTCCATTCCTTACAAGAAGTAGGCTCAAGTGCAAATGGCAGAGGTTTGGTTGGAGATGCTGGGCATGGAAGCCCTCCCCACAGCCACCCAGCCAGGTGACCCCGGAAAGGGGGTGGGGATGAGGATATTTGAGGCCTGGATGCCTGTCCACCTCTACCACCCATGGCCTTGGTGACGCACAAGGCC